GTGTTTTGTGTTTCTGAACCTGAGGTGCCCACAAGGTCTGTCCCTTGCTCCAGGACCCCCTGGCACACCCCAGCAGCACAGCTGGGAGGGGCTGCAAAAAAAACCAGCAAAACAGGTGATCTCTGGAAATCAATGGGCTAAACACAAGTTATTGGGTTGAATCTGGTTTTCAGGCAAACAAAACTAAACTCCAGAACCAAACTCTGCTTTTGGTTGACTTTGGCCATTTGGGCAAGTCACTTCATTCCTGTTTTGCCTGTAACTGCAGATTTGTTACGTGCTGTGGAGCCCAGATAACACCTCAGCCATCTTCCTTCACCTTCAGCTGCCTTCTTTCAAATTCTTACTTGGAATTGAAGTTCAAACAATATTTTCATTCCCTACCTCCCTCCCTCACAAAAGAAAAGGGGGGGGAAAAAAAAAGGGGGAAAAAATGTGAAAGAAAAAGGGTGAAGAAGGAAAGGGGTGGGAGGAGAGAAGACAAACATAAAATGCAGTTCACTTAAAAGTATCTCTGCTTGATAGAGGCTGAAAGGTGGCAGCTGTGCCAAAGTAGTGGACCCTAAATCGCTGGAGCTAAAAAGAGCAGGGAAAGCTCTGATTGCTGCTGGTGCAGGAGTGAATGTGCACTCTCAGCCACAAATCAAGGAAGCTTAAAAAAAAAAAAAAAAAAAAAAAAAGGCAATAATGGCCTCCACTTCACAATCAGACAAGTGCTTCTACTTCAGAAATCCTACCATTTATGGCTGATTGCTAACCCTGGCCTCATTTCTAATCTAAAGGGTGAGTAATAATTTGGAAAAGGAATTATAACAACTTCCCAACCATTTGGTAAATCGTTATTATTTTAAAGGGGTGTTGGGAGGCTGTTGCTGTTTGTCAGATATTTTTCTCCTGCTGCTGCTCTACCACTTCCACCACACTGATTCCTACTGATGGGAACTCACCTACGGGAAAATATATGAGGAAGAAAAGCCCCGAGCGAGGCTCTGGCTAGAGGGCTTTGGTGTGTCAGAAGTTCCAGTGAAGGCACACAAAGAGAGATGACATGGCTCCCTCCCTTTGTTGCTACCATGGTGTCCAAGGCCTCTCCTCAGGATCAGCAGCTGGGCTGAGGGGGATGCTGTTCCCACCCTGGGAGCTCCTGTGTGAATTCCCTCGGGTGGGAAGCCCTCTGCCCTAGAAACTTCCCAGGGGAAAGGGTGAGGGGTGACACTGCCCTGGGGTGCTGCAGGAGCACCCACAGACAGACGTGGCCTCATCACTGTGCTGGGACACCAAGGGGCCCTGCACAGCAGGGCTGTCCACAGAGGATCTCTCCATGGAGGGGCTTTCCAGGACGGAGCTGCTGTGCACTTGACCAGTGATGGGGCCACCTCTGCCCTCCCTGTCAGTGTAAGCAGTGTAGTGAGAGACAATGCCAGTCATTTAACTGGTGGGTTCTCTTGATGTGAAGTGCAAGGTGCATTGGTCTAGAACCATGACCCCTCCATTGTGTTTATTGCACTCGTTTCCCTGTTTCAAGCTTGCAGAGCTGCATATGCAAGTGTTTCAAGATTTATGTAAATACCTGGTCAAACCTCTGGAAGACCACTGTGATTTTCACACAGAGCTTTCTAGGGAGAAAACACAGAATCAGAGGATGTAGAAAATGTGCCATGATTCTGGGGAGGGCCACAGCTGCCCTGGGTCAGAACACAGGACTTTGCCTGGTGCCTCTGCTCTACAGGAGAAAACATTTAAAACCAGACACAACGTGGTGAAGGGCAAAAACCCCAGGGCCTGTGCACAGCTTCACCTGGGTTTTCTGGCCCTGCTGAAGGCAGGGTTTTGAAAAAAAAGCAGGAATTTGGGATCAAAATACCTCATATTTTAGTCTCATTTAACCGAGGACAAGAGGGGTTGCCATCATTTCCCCCAGGAATGTGTCATACTTCATGAAAGGGATGATCACTGTGTTTTGGAGGATGGCAAAATTCCATTCACTGCCTCAGGAGCAGCAGCAGCTCTAGGGCAGCACTCGATGCCTCCCCTCTGGTGTGGGCTGTGGAGGCAGCTGCTGCCACACAGTTGTTTCAGTCCATGTTTTAAATATGATTTGAAGAGAGACTGATTCAAAAATATTCAATGACCCAGTGAAATCTGGACTACTATTGCAAGACAAAAAGCATAATGCTTCAATGAAAACAGCAACCTGGAATGTGTTTTATTAAGTGGAGTTCATTTAATGTTACCCTGGAGTGCTGTGGATTTGAAAGCACATTCTTGAATTTGAACTTTCATATCCAGGTAATAGGAATGGGGGGGAAATGGTCATTTGTAACATTGCACATTTCAGGCCAAATCCTGGTCCCACGTGGAACTAGCCACGGGGCTCCTGCATGTATTTTCCAAAAGTGGCATGTCCCTGGGTCCTGTCTGTGCTTCCAAGGGGAGGACAGGGCAGGGAAAACACGGAGATCCTGCCCAGAACTCGGCATGAGTTTCTGCTGTGCTTCACTGTCCCGTGGCTGCTCTGCTGCTGCGGAATTTCCCAGGGGAGTTTGATCTCAGGGAGAGAAAACAAATCCAGGTTCAGTCTCTGCCTAACATGTGCCACGGGGGGATGCACAGCGCTGGCAAAGCTTGGATTGTGTGCATTAGCTCTGGTTTCACTTGTAAATGTCACTTGGGTTTTGTGGGCAATGTGAGGCAAAAATATTTAAATTAGCAGGTTCTAAGAGAGCAGTGCAGTCAGTTTAACGTGTGTATTGATCCGGATGGGGAAGGCTTGTTAGAAAGCAATGGGATCATTTACATCTCTGTTGGCGGAAAATCGGGGGTCATTCCAAGGAAAACGGGTTTTCCGGTCCAGCTGTTCAGTGTTCCAGGGGTTTAAACGCCTCCCACCGCCAGAACCGCGTGTGCGGGACACGTCCCAGGGACGGGATTCTCTTCCAAGGCAGCCGTGTCGGTAGCACCGGCTCCGGAGCCCTCGAGTCGAGCGGAACCGGGACACGGCGGGACGTGGGGAGGGGCTGATCCTGCTCTGGCCCGGCCCCGGCACCGGCACCGGCACCGCGCGGGGCGCTGGGTGGGCTGCGGGGCTGCGGGTCGGGCTGGGCTGCGGGCTGGGCTGAGCTGCGGGCCGGGCTGAGCAGCGGGCTGGGCTGGGCTGCGGGCCGGGCTGAGCTGCGGGTCGGGCTGGGCTGCGGGCTGGGCTGAGCTGCGGGCCGGGCTGAGCAGCGGGCTGGGCTGGGCTGCGGGCCGGGCTGAGCTGCGGGTCGGGCTGGGCTGCGGGCTGGGCTGAGCTGCGGGCCGGGCTGAGCAGCGGGCTGGGCTGGGCTGCGGGCCGGGCTGAGCTGCGGGTCGGGCTGGGCTGCGGGCTGGGCTGAGCTGCGGGCCGGGCTGAGCAGCGGGCTGGGCTGGGCTGCGGGCCGGGCTGAGCTGCGGGTCGGGCTGGGCTGCGGGCTGGGCTGAGCTGCGGGCCGGGCTGAGCAGCGGGCTGGGCTGGGCTGCGGGCCGGGCTGAGCTGCGGGTCGGGCTGGGCTGCGGGCTGGGCTGAGCTGCGGGCCGGGCTGAGCAGCGGGCTGGGCTGGGCTGCGGGCCGGGCTGAGCTGCGGGTCGGGCTGGGCTGCGGGCTGGGCTGAGCTGCGGGCCGGGCTGAGCAGCGGGCTGGGCTGGGCTGCGGGCCGGGCTGAGCTGCGGGTCGGGCTGGGCTGCGGGCTGGGCTGAGCTGCGGGCCGGGCTGAGCAGCGGGCTGGGCTGGGCTGCGGGCCGGGCTGAGCTGCGGGTCGGGCTGGGCTGCGGGCTGGGCTGAGCTGCGGGCCGGGCTGAGCAGCGGGCTGGGCTGGGCTGCGGGCCGGGCTGAGCTGCGGGTCGGGCTGGGCTGCGGGCTGGGCTGAGCTGCGGGCCGGGCTGAGCAGCGGGCTGGGCTGGGCTGCGGGCCGGGCTGAGCTGCGGGTCGGGCTGGGCTGCGGGCTGGGCTGAGCTGCGGGCCGGGCTGAGCAGCGGGCTGGGCTGGGCTGCGGGCCGGGCTGAGCTGCGGGTCGGGCTGGGCTGCGGGCTGGGCTGAGCTGCGGGCCGGGCTGAGCAGCGGGCTGGGCTGGGCTGCGGGCCGGGCTGCGGGCTGGGCTGCCCCGGATCTCGCCGCCGCCGTACCCCAGGGCTGCCTTTCTCGTGGCGCAGCCCCACCCGCGTGTGCCGCGCAACGGGACACACCGGGCAGGAACGGGGCAAGGGATGCCACACGGGGCAGCTGCGAGCTGCTGGGATTCCTCTTCAAAAAGCTCTAGTTACAGTGACCATGACACTCGATTGCAGCGTTGTTTGAGGAAAGCAAATGTGTTCCTTTTAATACAAATTCAGTTGGTTTTAAGAAAAATATCTTTTCAGAGGGTCATGCAGAACATGGAAACAAAATGATATTTGTTTCTAGCGTGCAACTGGCCGGGAATCCTCTCTGCGTGGTTACCATCCATAAACCGCACCCAGGAAGCAGAAAAAAAGCTCACGTGTAATTCCTGTACGGAATCTGGGTGTTGTTCTCTGTTTTTAAAGATCTTGATGTCTAGATAGCTGTCTGCTGTAGTCACGCCAGAGCTGGCAGGTTTAAGACAGTAATTCTAAAAGGCTTTCCCTTCTCTTTGGTGTGAGGAAACGGAGCAGGCAGCTAGGAAAACTCAGGCACATGATCATCTATCTTTTTGAAGATTCAAATTTCCTTTCACAGGTTCCTTTAAAAGAAGCCGAGCGTGCTGCCCTGCGCTTGCAGCCGTGGGCAGAGCAGGAGGTAAATATTCTCCTCAGTATCACATTGTGCTCACATTGACAAGGTATTGCAAAGTCGTTGTGTACTTTCAGTAACCACAAGTACAAAAGACCTTCTAAAACTCCAGTGCCTGGTAATTTAAATAGCTGAAAGTTATTTTTTTAAAAAATAAATAAATAAATAGACCATATTTTATGCAAATGCGTGTTGTTGTTAAAGGCAGAGACTCGGGCGAATTCAAGTAAAGCATTAAAAAGGAGCTTCGGCTGAGAACTGAGCCGCGCTGCTCCCAGAGCCCCTGCTGTCCGGAACAAGGCTGCTCTGCTCTGGTGCACTGACTGAACACGGAAGCTTCCGAGCAAGAAGGTGTCTCGAGCAAACAGGTGTGACATCTGAGCTGTGCGCGTGAAGAATCACCTGGGTGAGTCAGGCAGGTGGATCCGCGCTCAGAGCCCCCCGGACACCGCGCTAAGGGTGGGAAAGGTGGGTGTTGGGGGGAAAGGGGGGTGTGGGGGTGGGAAAGGTGGGTGTCGGGGGGGGAAAGGTGGGTGTCG